CATCAATCCATGCCCGTGCCCCTCCCTTTTATTTTACATTTTAAATCAATCCTAAGAAAAAGCTAGGTGATTAAAAGTCAATTTATGGGAAAGGGCAATCTAGACAAATATCAAACAAAAGAAACCTAGGGTAACAATGTTAATATGCAATGTATTTGACCAAGCATGGTGGCTCACACCTGTAATCCCAGCACTTTGGGAGGCTGAGGCAGGAGGATCACCTGAGGTCAGGAGACCAGCCTGCCCAACATGGTGAAACCCCATCTCTACCTGTAACCCCAGCTACTGGGAAGGCTGAGACACAAGAATCACTTGAACCTGGGAGTCAGAGGTTGCAGTGAGCCAAGATTGCACCACTGCACTTCAGCCTGGGCAACAGAGTTAAGCTTTGCATAAGAAAAAAAAAAACAAAAAACATGTATTTATAGGATTAAAGAGGCACATTTTACAGTTTGAGACCCTGTCTCAAAAAGGAAGGAAGGAAGGAAGGAAGGAAAGAAGGAAGGAAGGAAGGAAGGAAGGAAAGAGAGAAAAAAAGATTTTTCATTTTCCTAATACAAATGAGAGGCAGCAGTTTTTTCACATGTTTATTGGCCATTGGGATATTCTAACTCATGAAGTGACTATTATGTATTTTGTCCATTTCTCTACTGGGTTTGCTGTCTCGGTGCTAGCTCTTTATATATACTGGATATTAGCTGTTTATTAGATATGAGTAATACAATATCTGTTCATGCCCCTTGGTTTGTCTTCTGTTTTCTTCTCTATATCTTTTTTATAGAGAAGATTTCTAATTTCTTAATTTCTAATAATAAAAAAAATCCCTCTTAATTTCTAATAATAAAACTGTTATTTAAAATAGCTAACATACATGATGACTATAAAATACCAAACACTTTTCAATTTACTCTGCATAGAATAACTCATTTAATCTTCATAATAACCTGTAAGAAAAATGTTATCTCTGTTTTACAGATGACAAAACTCAGTCACGGAGACATTAAGAAATTTGTTCAAGGTGATAGAGCTAGCAGGTGTTAGAGACAGAGATTTAAACAAAAATCTCCAAAATGATACCTTTAAGAAAAATACAGATGACTTCTCTTTTATCTAACTGTGATATGTGAGCTGAAATAAACAATACATTTACATACAGGACACAGAGGCCAGACAAATGTGCATGTACAGCTGACCCTTGAACAAGGAGAGAATGAGGGACATTGACCCTCTGTATAGTTGAAACTTCTTGAGTAACTTTTGATTTCCCTAAAAACTTCACTACTAATAGCCAACTGTTGACTGTAAGCCTTACTGATAACATAAACGGTTGATTAACACATATTTTGTTTGTTACATGTATTATATACTGTATTCTTACAATAAAGTAAACTAGAGAAAAGAAAATGCACTTATAGTTGTATACTGTATTTATGGATACCTTCAATTTACTTTATCTGTTTAGAAGATGAACTGTCTGTCTGAAATGGCTGGCAATCTCACTGCGGTTCTCAGTTTATACTATGCATCAAGCAATTCAACTTTTTTGTAATGTCATGACTTTTCTCTCCTTCTTGGGAACACTTCCAGCATCACTAGTGGCACTTCGTATGGGTTCCATGGCGTTATTCAAACTTTATGGTATTGTACTAAACATGATTAAAAATACTCAAGAAACTGCAGTTTACTGAAGATATTTGCTCATGTGTGGATGATTAGCATCTCACGGCCTTTTAAGAGGATACTTGCAATACCTGAGCTCTCCATAATAGCAACAAGATGTGGCTACAAAATACTTACAGTAGTACAGGGGGTACTACAGTTAATTTTGTACAGTTATCATTTAATACTACATCTTTACATTTGTTTACATTCATCTCACCTGAAACTGGCACCATGTATGATCCGTAAGTTCTGATAAATTTTAACATATAAGCCAGGCACGGTGGCTCATGCCTGTAATCCCAGCACTTTGGAAGGCCGAGGCGGGTGGATCATGAGGTCAAGATTTCGAGACCAGCCTGACCAACTTGATGAAACCCTGTCTCTACTAAAAACACAAAAATTAGCTCAGCATGGTGGCACATGCCTGTAATCCCAGCTACTCAGGAGTCTCAGGCGGGAGAATAGCCTGTACCTGGGAGGTGGAGGTTGCAGTGAGCCAAGATCGTGACACTGCACTCCAGCCTGGGTGACAAAGTGAAACTTCGTCTCAAAAAAATTTTTTTTTAACTTTTGAAAACAGATTTGTGTATGTTTTATGGTAATACATGATAACATACACTATTATATACATGTATTTCATGCATTCATGACATACATTTTTTTTATTTTTTCAATATTTCTAAACCACAAGATTTTTATCACAGGTTTTTTAAATTGTTCTGAAAGTCCAAGGTATTAACCAGTGTAGTTATTGAAAAAAATCCACATATGAGTGGACTTATGCAGTTCAAATCTATGTTGTTTAAGGCTCAACTGTACATGTGGGAATCTGTATACAATGAAAGTGGCTTACCAATCCTGTGAAAAGGAATTAATTATTCAATAGGTGATACGATACTGGCCTTTTTGGGAGAAATGACAGAGCTCTACCTCATACTACTTAGATAAGTAAATTACTGATAGATTAAACACTGGCTGTGCAAAGGAAAACTTTAAGACTATTTGAGAATATATTGAAAAACGTGTTTATCCATTCAAGGCAGGATAAAATGTCCTAAAGAAGAACCAAAAGCTCAAACAATGATGGAAATGTCTGATATATTTAACTGCTTCCAGTGTAATAATGACATAAAAAATTAAGAGACAAGTCACAGGATAGAATAGTTTTACCATACATAAAATAAACAATAAATGAGTATCCTGAAAACTTCTAGAGACCGATAAACAAAATAAGAGTCAACCAAAAAGAAGTGGGCAAAGGCTTAGAACAGGCAACCTGAACAAAGAAAATCCAATGGCCAATATATATGAGGAGATGTACAAGATTACTTGTAATTGAGAAAATGCAGTGATACTTAAAAAAAATCAGTTTAGGTAAGGAAAAGGTGAAAAGGTCTGACAATATAAAAATGGGCCAACATATGAGAAAACCACTATGATCAGACTGTTAATGGAGATAGAAATTGTAGACCAATGTAGCTGTTTCTAGAAAAAAAGTTGAAAATGAGTATTAATATAAACAAAGAACTCTAGTTCTATGTACACAGTTGTTCAATAAAGTGTTAAGATAAGGAAGATGTGGAAATGATCTACTTATCTATCAGCAGGGTAATAAAGAAAATGAAAAATTACACAAATCTATTGACTTTGCTGGAGTCACTAGGATCTATAAAATAGCAATGTGTTCAGAACTTGTAACGTTAAGTTTTTAAATAGGTGGTAAAAGGGGGAGAAGTTGGTAAAGCCACACCTGACATATTATCTTGGCTGTGTAAAATTATAAGTATAAAAGTGAAGAATGTGTAAGGAACACATGATTACTCTTTCTCAGAAATGAAGAGAAACCTAGAAACAGAGGTCATGGGAGAGGACAAAGATGGCTCCAAACTTGCCTCTAGATAATTCTCATTATCAATGCTTCTTGATTTTCTAAAATAGAATACAGCATGGCAAAAGGTTATTATTGAACATGGGTAAACAGCAGAATATGGGCACCATCTATTAATAAGAGTAGTACCAACTGAGTGTGTGAAAATAAAGTAACATAGAATTCTAAGTACAATTGCTTGAAGAAGCCCCCCACAACCACGTGCAACTCCCTGAGTTTTCTAAAGGCCAATTTAGTAACTACTTTAGCTGTACCATTGCTTGCTCTTGTTTGGAAAGAGAATGTAAAATATTGATGAAAGTAACTCAATAGAAACAGGAGTGCAATAGGAGCAATGTTTTCTAAAAATTCTTTATGTCCTTATGTTTCTTGTCTTCCCAACCCAAGTTTTTAGTTTTTGTTTTTATTTGGTTTTATTCTTAATTTTAAATGTCCCAGGGCATCTATCTGCCTGGAAAGCGATTGAGATATTGCTGAAGCAGATGTTCAATTCTAACCTTCCAAATTAGAATGTGAGCCAAGCTATCAATCATCTGATATTTTCAGAACTTCCTTATTTCTCTGCATTTCCTTATCCACAATCCTACATTACTATCTAATTTTAATTGCCAATTAATTGCCTCCAGTATAAAAGTGAGAAAGTCTCACCATCCACCAGGGTGGGTGGAAGCAGGCATCCAGATGCTAACTTGATGGAGCTGACCCAAGGAACTAACACTTCTCCAGCAGACTTTCAACATAACCTCTGTTTAGCCTCACTTTTATTCCCAACTCCAGGAGTACCCGGTGCCACAAAATCTTGATTCCTTTTGGTTCTACACTGGGGATTGTGTTGGCCTCTAGGGTTTTTTCCCTGCCAACCTAGAATTTAATTTTCCAGAGTTTCTTAAGATGGTTCTCACTTTTCCACCTGCCCCTGTGTTGTCTCCTATTCAGTTTTCTCCAGCTTAAAACACATGCAATAAAACACATAGATCTTACATCTCCACATCAGTGAGTTTTAACAATTATATACACCCATGTAATAATCACCCAAAACAAGATGTAGGACATTCCACAGTCCCATAAATTTCTCTCATGCCCGTAACTTTCCAGTCAATCCCGACCATAGGTAATCATGTTCTAAATTCTATGACAGGTTGGTTGGGCTTATTTTGGGAATGAATATAAATGCAGTCACACAGTATGTTTTCCCTTGGATCTGGCTTTTTTTCCCCCAAATCTGATTTTTGTAAGATCCTGTTGCATGTACCAGCAGTTTGTTACTTTTTACTGATGAATAATATTTCAATATGCTACAGTTTTTCTACTTATCTGTTCAAAGACATATGCATTTTTCATAGTTCTTGATTCTTATGAATTGGTTAGATAATTAGGGGAAGAATTTCTAGGCGTAGATGACTGCTTAAGTTTATAGAAGACTGACAAACAGTTTTCTTTTCTTTTTGACTACCAGAAAATAAATACCAACTCTATTAATATAACAGCAACAGAAAGGGTTTCCAGTTTCTCAGAAGGAAAATAACATGACGCTAGCACAAGTGTTTAAAGAGTGAAAGCTTACACAACTGTTAAACGAGTAAATGACTACATTTCTTGTTCCGATAGCTTCCCACCACACACCAAAGTTTCCTCAAGGACAGCTGCCACCAGAAATGCTGCAAGAACATGTTTTTCACTGGGCGTAGCTTCACAGTCAACTTCTCAAGCAGAAGGCTAAAATATTATTTCTTTTTAGAAGATCTTGGTTGAGGGAGAACATATCAATATGGAGAACAGATCTTTGCTTCCCAAATTCGAGAAACACCATTAACTAATCTATCAAATTTTCTCCAATAAGGTGTGCCAGAGTGCTCTCTGAAGAATCCTTTTCCATCCCTACCATACGTCTGGGTGGAGGGAGAGGAGGGGGTGGCAAGCGGCCAGTACACTAGCAGGCACTCCTGGTGATGCTCTGGGTTCTGCTCTCTTTCTGCTGGTGGTAGTAGGCATCTTTTCTGGCAGTTGCAATAGCTTTAAGGTGGGGGGAAGGAAGGGGCCACCCACCAATCACCTCTTCTTGAAGCCGTACTTTTTGCGTTCATAGAAGAGGTCTGTCTTAAAGCTCCACAAATTGACAATCTTTGGGCAGCCATCTCTATCATTCTCCTGGATGGTGCACTCTTTACAAAAATAGGCATCGGAGACCCCAGGGCCTCCACAGATCACACAGCGCCCCTAGTAAGATCCATAGTTACACTCATCACATATGTGCACCAGAGTGCAGGGACACATATAGGAGTCACAAATCACACACTTGCCCTCATGTTTTTCACACAGTCTTCCAATGGCAACACCAGCCTGCTTATGGCAAAAGATGAAATCAGGATGATGTTTAGCCATAGTTCCCAATGAAAACAACACACAGTTTTCAAAGGGGTTATATGATATCACATTCTCAGTCATGCATTGGAGATCTCATTGCTCCAGACATAGGACTCCTCTCAGAGCCAGAGGGCATGGTTCCAGTAAATCTGGGTAAAAAACTGGGAGTGATCCATCATACCAAAGGCAGAATGTTTTCTGTTTGTCCTTGTGACTTCTGGTGTTCAAAGGGACATGTTTTCACTGGAGGTAGGGGGAGGTCATAGCAGTAATTACGTAAATTGGAAGCTAAGATTTTCATGTGGTCATTTCTCTCTTCACATCACTGAATAACCATGCAAAGAAGAAGTATAATTTCAGCAGGGGCCATTGATATTTATTCTCTCACAAAAATTATGCTCTTTGAAACACAAACCTAAAGTATAGTTGCAGTTCAGGTTCACTACAGAGCACACTTTAAGACTTCAGCACAAAGATCTTTCTTTCCATATCTGAGAAAGAAAGAGGCAGAAAGCAGTTTGAGCATAGGGAAAAGTTGATCTGTGGCTCAGGGCCAAATATAGTCTCAGCAGATCCTGCAGGCAGCTCTGGAGCTCAAATGGCCCTTCAGGGGTGTCCTGAGTTGAGGAGAGAGATGGCCAAGCTTAATGCTTCAGCACTGAGCAGTCACTGGATGTGGGCCAAACTGGGAAGAGGCATGGCCTTGGGTGAGGCAGCTCTCTGCAGCTGAAGGCTGTCTGCCTACTACAGTCCAGGGTCAATGAGGCTTTTACTTATCAGATAAGAGTTTATTCCTTGGTCATGCAGGATGTACTGTGGGCCCAGCAGCTCTCTAGGAGTACTCCCTTCCCATGAATGCAGTGTGCTTTCATCTGGTGTTTCCACCATCTCAGTATTAGCTGAGCATTATGACCCTTTTCAGCCAGGCAGCTTGTTCCCATCCTCATTTGTGCCTGGAGTCAGGCTCTCAGCTTCAATTCTCCTAAGAATAAACTTCCATCTCTTGTTATACTAGGAATGACAAAGCCACCTAACTGAATGGGAGAGGTAAGAAGTTGTGGGTTTTTCTATTCTTTATTCAAAACTTTAGACAAGCACCAATTTTTAATTACTTTGGCCTTTAAATTTACAGGTGCTTCAAAATTGAGAGCCTTACTAAAATTCTGTGGGGGCAATTAAGTAAGGCTAGTACTAAAGGGAGGGTGGCTAGCTATTTACAAAATACATGTGAGTTTGTCCCCTCCTGTGCATTTTTTTCCTTTTTTTTCTTTTGAGATGGAGTCATGCTCTGTCACCTAGGCTGGAGTGCAGTGGTGCAATCTCAGCTCACTGCAACCTCTGCCTCCTAGGTTCAAGCAATTATTCTGCCTCAGCCTCCCAAGCTGGAACTACAGGCACATGCCATGGCTCATTTTTGTATTTTTAGTGGAGACAGGTTTCACCATGTTGACCAGGCTGGTCTCAAACTCCTGACCTCAAGTGATCCACCCACCTTGGCCTCCCAAAGTGCTGGGATTACAGGCCTGAGCCACCACACCTAACCACTTCTGTACATTCTCGATGCTAACATAAATCTAAGCAATTGCCGCTCTCACTTGTATTATTTAGATGCTCTTCTCTTCTGTCCACACATTATCCACAGAGTAACTAAGATGATTATTTAAATGTATAAATCACATTTTGTCAACTGCTGTTTAAAACTTCCAATGCCTGTTCACAATAGCAGAGACTTGGAACCAACCCAAATGCCCATCAATGATAGACTGGATAAAGAAAATGTGGCACATATACACCATGGAATACTATGCAGCCATTAAAAAGGATGAGTTCATGTCCTTTGCAGGGACATAGATGAAGCTGGAAACCATCATTCTCAGCAAACTGACACAAGAACAGAAAACCAAACACCACATGTTCTCACTCATAAGTGGGAGTTGAACAATGAGAACACATGGACACAGGGAGGGGAACAATACACACTGGGGCCTGTCGGCGGGGTGGGGGGCTAGGGGAGGGAGAGCATTAGGAGAAATAACTAATGTAGATAACGGGTTGATGGGTGCAGTAAACCACTGTGGCACGTGTATACCTATGTAACAATTCAGCACATGTACCACAGAACTTAAAGTATAATACAATTAAATATAAAAAATAAAAATGAAACTTCCAGTGCCTTCTCATTTCAAGTTGAACACACACCAAATAATGTACTTCACATGAGACCCAGGGCCCTACCTGCTTTGCCCCCTGCCTCTCTCCCTCTCTTCCTCTTTCTTTCTATGCCCTAGGAACAAATGAGCTTTGTATACCTGGAAAAACAAAATCACTAAGTTCCATGGTAGGTCTATTGCACTTGCTGTTCCCTGCAGGTGGGAAACTCTACTCTGGACATCCCAATTTTGTCAATTGGGTCCCAAAAAGGTCTCTTGCTTTGTGAAGCCTTCCAGGACCTGCAATTCCATCAGCCCACTGCCCACTCTGCTCTGTCATCCAGTCCTGCTTTAGTTTCTGCACAGCACACACTCCTGATTGAAACTGCCTTGCTCACTTACTGGGGACGTGTTTATTGGGATGAGTCAAATCATTAACAATGTCAAATAGACCTACAGCTTTGAAAAGCCAGTGGAGTTTGGCTGTTTTGGCTTATGTTTCCCTCTTACCTAAACTTACTTATCAGAGAATTTTAAACTTTCAAGGAAAATGCATCTCTATATTTTCAGATTTTTAAAATCAATTTCTAGTTTTATTTCATGGTAATTATACTGCATGTTCTCATTTATAAGTGGGAGCTAAATGATGAGAACTTATAGACACAAAGAAGGGAACAGCAGAGTCTGGGTTCTACTTAAGGATGGAGGTGGGAAGAGGGAGAGGCACAAAAAATAAAAAAAAATATATATATATATATATATATGGTACTAAGCTTAGTAACTAGGTGATTAAACAATCCATACAACAAACCCCCATAACACAAGTTTACCTATATAAAAAAGCTGCACCTATACCCTTGAACCTAAAATGAAAGTTGTTTTTTTTTTTTTTTAAGAATGTTTGGCGAGGTGCAATGGCTCATGCTTATAATCCCAGCACTTTGGGAGTCCAAGGCAGGTGGATCACCTGAGGTCAGGAATTCAAGACCAGCCTGGGCAACATGGCAAAACCCCATCTCTGCTAAAAATACAAAAATTAGCTGGGCATGTTGACACACACCTGTAGTCCCAGCACTTTGGTAGGCTGAGCCAGGCGGATCACCTAGGGTCGGGAGTTTGAGACCAGTCTGGCCAATATGGTGAAACCTTGTCTCTACTAAAACTATAAAAAATTTGCTGGGCGTGGTGGCATGTGCCTGTAATCCCAGCACTTTGGGAAGCTAAGGTGGGTAAATTAACTGAGGTCAGGACTTCAAGACCAGCATGGACAACATGGTGAACCCTGTCTCTACTGAAACTACAGAAAAATTAGCTGGCCATGGTGGCACACAAATGTAATCCCAGCTACTCACTCGGTAGGCTGAGGCGGGAGAATTGCTTGAATCCAGGAGGTAGAGGTTGCAGTAAACTGAGATTGGACCACTGCATTCCAGCCTGGGTGACAGAACAAGACTCTGTCTCAAAAAAAAAAAAAAATTCTTTATCCATTTATCAGTCAACAGACACTTAAGATTGTTTCTGTGTCTTGACTACTATGAATAGTGCTGCAATGAACATAAAAATGTGGATATCTTTATGAGGTGATGATTTCATTTCCTTTGGGTATATGTCCAAGAGAGGGATTCATGGGTCATATAATAGGTTTACTTTTCATTTCTTTCAGAAACCTTCATACTGTTTTCCATAATGGCTGGACCAATCTATATTGCCACTAACAGTGTACAAGAGTTCCCTTTTCTCCATACCCTTGTCAACATTTGCTATCTTTTTTGACTTTTTGATAATAGCCATCCTAACAGGTGTGAACTGGTGTCTCAAAGTGGTTTGATTTGCATTCCCTGATTGTTAATGATATTGAGCACCTTTTAATATACTTGTTGGCTATTTTAATGTTTTCTTTGGACAAATAACTATTCGGGACTTGAGGTTTTGTTTTTTTTTTTTTTTTTTTTTGCTATACAGTCTCTTGCTCTGTTGCCCATGATCTAAGCTCACTGCAGCCTCGATCTCCCTCCTGGGCTGGAGCAATCCTCCTGCCTCAGCTTCTTGAATAGGTGTGACTACAAGCATGTGCCACTATGTCTAGCTTTTTTTTTTTAGTAGAGATGAGGTCTCACTATATTTCCCAGGTTGGTTTTGAACTCCTGAGCTCAAACGATCCACCTGTCTCAACCTCCCAAAGTGCTGGAATTATAGGTGTGAGCTACCGCACCCAGCCGTTTTGCCCATTTTTAATTGGGTTATTAGTTTGTTTTCACTATTGAGTTATATGAGTTCTTTATAAATTTCTGATTTTCTTTTTTTTTTGAGAAAGAGTCTCACTTTGTTGCCCAGGCTGGAGTGTGGTAGCACAATTGTACTTAACTATAACCTCAAACTCTTGGACTCAAGCAATACTTCCACCTCAGCCTCCTGAGTAACTAGGACTACAGATGTGCACCACCCTGGCCAGCACACCAAAGTAATTTTTAAATTACTTTGTGGAGATGGTGGGGGGGTCTCACTATGTTGCCCAGACTGGTCTCAAACACCTCTCACTTCAGCTTCCCAAAGCACTGGGATTATAGGTGTGAGACATTGCAACACTTGGCCTAAATTTTGGATACTAATTCTTTTTCACATACATAGTTGGTAAATATTTTTTCCCAATCTATAAGCTGCTATTTCATATTGTTGATTGCTTCCTTTGCTATGCAGAAGCATTTTCCTTTGTCATCCACTTGTTTTTGTGACCTACTTCTCAGTGTGATAGCCAAAAAATTATCGCCAAGGCCAATGTCCAGGAGCTTTTCCCTTAGGTTCTCTTGCAGAAGTTTTGTAGTTTCTGGTCTTAAATTTATGTCTTTTATCTATTTTGAGTTAACTTTTATGTATGGCATAAGGGCCTAATTTCATTCTTTTGCATGTGAAAGGTAGTTCGATTTTTAGTATTTTTGAGAAAGAGCCATACTGTTTTCCATCATGCCTGCATTAATTTACATTCTCACCAACAGTGTACAAATGTTCCCTTTTCTCTGCATCTTCCCAAGATTTATCTATTGTCTTTTAAGATAATAGGATTCTAACAGACATGAGGAGATATTTCATTGTGGGTTTAATTAGTACTCAGTTAGTGATGTTGAACACTTTTCCATATATTTTTGACCCTTTGTATGTTTTCTTTTGAGATGTCTATTCATGTTCTTTGGTAC